TTGAATCGTTTTAACTCATCTTTCCAGTCAGCTCCATACTTAATACGATTGAGGTACCTAGGTGAACTTTCACAATACTTGAAAATGGTTTTCAAGCATTTTCACTTTGCAAAGTTCATAAATCACTTTGCTAATAACTCAGTCATCTTGTTTGCGTATTAGTATAAAATTCCTTTAACAATTATGAAAAGTGATTTTGCTTTTTCGAACAGAATCAACTTAAAAGGATGACTTGTTTACCTCAAGCAGAAAAGTAGGACTTACTGGTTTGACACAGATTTCAAGTGGAAGTCTATGCATGTGTTTAACATTTTAAAAGAAAAAAGAGAGGGAAGGGGAGTGAAGAAGGATAGAAGCAAGTGTGAGAACTTATATGGTAGAACATCATTGATCAAATCCCTTTTACACAGAGCAAGATTTTGAATTCATCTCAAAAAAACTTTAATATGCTGCTAGATCATCATTTAAATTTTGAAAGGCAATTTAAGTTTTTGTGATGATTTTTCTATAGAAAATCTATCCGCCCAAATCCATGATCGTCTCAATGTTTATGAATTATCATGAAGTATCACAGAAATCTTACCAGCATGCCGACACGATAGCGTTATAACCCTTCGCTGTAACATTTTTCACCTCCTTTATAATTTCTTGATGAGTTCTTCCTTTCCAGATATGTATTATGGAGTCATATTCCTGCAAATAGCTGGATGCAACCAAACTGGTTTAGTTGAGAGAACAACTCACCGGAATGTTATTATCGAAAACTTCTTGCCAAAAAATTGTTCTTCTTTTTACTTTTAAATTCCTTACAATTGCATGGAGCCTAGATTCAAGGTATATTACCAAGATTTAGGAACATTTTAGAGTTTTCTTTTCGTTCGCTATCACTTTTCGGCTCAACTTATATTGGCATATAGCATAGCATACATGAGGCAAAAAAATAGTTTTCTCATATCGAAACCTTTTGTAAATTGTGCTAAAAAGAAGCCCTGGGTTCTAGTCTGACTAAATGAAGGCTAAATAATTTATAAAATAAACTTTTAAAGGATCACCTCTCAAAGAAGTAATTTTCAAGAAGTCTTATGTTGCTCCCGAATGATTTTTCCTTCATAAACTTCCTGATGTTTGAGTTCCTCATCCTAAAAACTAACATTTTTCTGTATAATTCTACAGCATAATCTCTGTATAACTCTCCAGCAGTCTTCAATAAACATCTCAACTTCATCGCCTCCGAGGTGCAAAAACTCATCGGGAAATGTCGTGACCACTTCGTCCAGGAATTCCTAAGGTGTTTTTCCACTAGCTCAGTTATACATTCCCGTCTTTAGACAAACATACGTATAGGAACTCAAACGTTGAATTCTTGCTTGGGTCCACGAGATTAGGTAAATAGGTTGGCTTTCCAGCACAATCGAAACATTCCGTTAACAGTTCTGGATGTCCTTGCCATGCTCCGGTGTGGCCTGAGATGTTTCATTTACGTTCATACAGGTGCAATAATTGTACCTGGTAGGTCAAATTCAGGAATAACTCGTATCCCTCGAACCCTAGCGAATTCGATGATTTCCTGGACGTCGCTTGGTGAGTATTGATGTTTGGGTGAATATGCACCCTACAGCAGTTGTCAGATGAGTATCTTAGTATGACTTTATCTTCGGTTGACTTGTAAATGTTTGCCTTTTTTTCAATTCAAAACTGCGCCATGAGCTTTTAGTACAGTTCAATATATTATGTATGAGGTCAATTATGGTTGAGTTTTTCGTATTTTTCATTTTAATGGTGCTAGACTTTTTTAAATTTTTTTGTATTTACATAAGTGTTCTGATGTAACATGCCTTTTTAGAAGAGAGTGTTCGTTGAGATAGCGTTTTCGATCTTTTTTGTTCGAGTTAAATTTTGTTAAGTTACATATTGTAATTTTCAAAAGCGACGGCTGCGAAGAGTATGGCAATGAAATCATTGTTACAATGCTCAGAATTGGTTTAGATTAGTTTCATATTTTTGACTTGACGCCAGTCTAATGATTTGAAGTTTCACGAAAATGATTCGAACAAAAAAAAATGAATAACTTATCAAAGAACACACAGTTCTCTTCAAATCACATGTGACATTACACCAAAACATTTTTGAACTGCGCAATTTTAAATTGAAAGGAAAAAAATGCTATGGCTTATAAAGTAACCGAAGCTTTCCTTTTACGTAATTTACCAGAAGAGTGTGTTGCCACTTACCTCCACTAACTCTCAATAGTCTGCAGAGTTTTAGAAACAATTAGAAGCCACTTACTGTTTTTGCAAGATTTGGGAATTTTTCGGAAACATAAGGAAATGCTTCGCTGTCTACGAGATGCCAGTGCAAAACATTCATTTTATTCATTGCCATGATATCCTGAAATATCATGGTTAAATATTTCCCAATTCAGATGGTCATAGTTGTTGTGATAGATAAGGTAGAGCTGAATTTACGCACCAATTGTCTTTTGATGACTTTCATTGAGAGGAAATGTCTTGAGGAGTCGATCAGGAGACCTCGGAGCGGAAAGCGAGGAAAGTCATGTATTCTCACAGTTCTGATTTTATACTGGAAATATCACATAAAACAGTTTTGATGAAATCCATCTAACATCCCAGTTAAGTGTAATAGCTTCTCTTGAGGATCTTTGGAGAAAGCTTATTTTTGTTTACTATAAGTATTGTAGAGCTAAATTTACAGTGCAACATCTTATTTCAACAATATCACAAATCAAGATTAGTGCTTTCTACATCTACTTGATATCGATCGACAGCTACAAACCTCTGCATCTTTTTCATCATAGAATATTAATTGACTGATGGAATCCATTCCCCTTATGGCACCCCAAACGCTGTCCGTAGATAGTGTTGCTCCGTCCATTTTTACAATGAGTTTATCTGAAAAAGGTAAGTTACTGGATGACGCAATGCAATTCTAACGCATTCGCGTTGACCAAGTCCTAATAGGGTATTTTTCAGATAGCTTTGTTTGTTATAAATTACAACTTATTCCACATCCTGGAAGCAAATGAATGCCTACTATAAGCTGAGCGCAGCACTCGACCTCTAAGACATTAGTGGTTTCGCACAAGGATGGCGATCATTCGTAAGCCTACTAATGACGATGGGGCCTCTTCTCGCCACAGAAACCCAACAATACTGACATAATATTCAAATGTTACTTACGAATTATTTGTGTCATCATAATAAAGCACGTAGTTTGTCTATTCTCTTCCTGTCACGAAGTTACTTAATTTGTTAGGAAAGTCGACAGATATCAGTTCTTACCATTTTACCTAAAGTACCTTGAGCAAACATAGGTAAATTTCTTTTGAGATCATAAACTGTGTTGTTTGTAGCTATGAATAGAATAATCTTCACATTCTTTTGCATACATCCTCACTCGAGACAAATTTCTTGTCAGCATGGCATGAAGCTTTAATTTGTTAGAGCTCACGTAGATTGTTGAAAAATCAAGGTTGACTATATTTCTAGATTCAAATTGAATTCCTATATCAAAGTGCTGTTGTTTTTAGCAGTTGCAAAATTCGTGATGCTAACGTTCGAAATCGCGACCATAATTCTAGCCGCAGTTCGACGAATTTCTGATGCCACACAATATAACGAAATAAAATAGTTCTATAAGATGATAAGACAGCTTCCTTTTTAGTGCTTATATGCTGTAGTCAGAGCTCCTATCACGCTTTATAGAAAATTCTGCTTTATTAATTGGCGCATAATGAACATTCTGAACAATCAGTTTCATAAAAAGTAACTATGAAAAGTATAAGAAGCGAATATGTTCAAAAGCTGTTGATAATGCTTAAGAGAAATTTGATAGCACTGCTCTGGGGTGTTGGTCTTAAATCTGCGTCAAATTTCGTGAATAAATGGGTTATAAACATTGAGATCTGATGTACAGACTCTTCTAGTTCCACTGTTTATCCCATCGAATCAAGAAGATTTTGCTGAAGTTGCGAGAGTTTAGAATACAAACATTGAAAGAGAAAACCTGGCCGATTTTGAATTTTTTAGAAGTGGTTTAAGATTGAGTTTTCTGCACGTTACAGCACTTACGCACATTCTTCGCTATCTCCATGTCGCGGTACACTTTTCGGACAATCATTTGCAATTTCCACAGTTATAAAAAAATCGTCCGCGTTGCATTTTGCGTCTACTGGGAATGGAAACATCCATTTGTTCACTGAAAGCATCGAGATAAATTGTGGATGAGATCAATTATAAAAATATCAACTTGCAGTAGTTCCCAGCGTTCATGACCAAGATGTCACAGTCCTTCTTGTCTCCAAAATCAAAATGTACCTTGCCTTTGCAAAGCGTTCGATTCATTCTACCGTATTTCACATTTTGTGGAAGCGGCCAGATCTGTGGTATTCAACACATTTCATATTCATAGTGATCTTATCTTTCTAATTGGATAAACAAATGAATGAATAATTTCCTTTTTTTAGCTTTTCTCGCAAGTGTAAACGAGGAGACAAAAAAGTAGATTCTTATCCTACAAGCACTAACCGCTAGATTACTCCTGCTCGAAAGACTTTTCAGATTAAATTCGAGATATACCCAGTAATGCAGATTAACCTATCTTGAATGGTGTTCTTTTTCTTAGAGATGAGACACATTCACCAAAAAATTAACCGCGACAGACAATATGTTATCCGGCTGCATTATGGTTAAAAAGTCAGAGGGAGGCGCTCAAATTTTTCATGAGCATAATTTTCGATTGTAGAAGAAGCAATCAAATATTTTGAAAAAGCGCACAACATTTTTTTTTGTTGCTCTATGCTCTCGGATTGCTTGAGATCGTACCCCCTCATCAGATAGCTATGCACAGAATTTAGAATGATGGCTGTGGCCCACACATCGGTGATCAAACTTTGAGTCTCGTCAATACATAAATTCGGAGGACAAGAGTAACATACTATGTGAATTTCGCTTATAAGCACATTCTTATTGTTGGATAAATTTGTCAAGCCCCACCTACCTCTCCTACAGTCCATCTATTGGGAGGGTCGCGACCGTAATACCATGCTGAAGACAGTTGAAGAAGGGGAGAATATACAGTCAAGATATGTACATAACAACTGATACTCATCTGAAATTGCACGAATGCTCAAATCCCACTTTCAAAAGTTTACTGTAAACACCCTAGAGAAAACGGGATTTCAAATACGTAGATGATTAGATGGATAATTAAGAATTGGTTCGGCAGGAGTCACAGTGAACTGTAAATCATGCGATTTAAAGAAAGGGAATACAAAACCAAAGAATGAATAGGCAAAAAATGACGTCGCTAATTCACTTCCAATTTAAGCAGCAATTAGAAGTTGACAGGAATGTTTTCCGCCGATTCTTTATGACGACTTTTTCTGATTTTTCGAATCAAAAAGAGCTGGAACTCGGAATTTTTGAATCACCATTATTACTCCAGTATATAGATGACTAATCTCTATTTAGCTTAGGATGCATTCTTTCAA